GCAATACAAATGGACATTAGACACTGGGGGGGTAGGGGAGGTCAGGAGATTGTCAAGGGCGGGAAAAAAAGGAGACACATGTAATACTCTTTGTAATACTTTAAGCAATAAAACAATTAAAAATAAATAAATAAAAGGAAAAGAAAACACTTAAAAAACTGGACTTTATTAAAATTAAAAAACATAATATTCATTAAATTAAAAAGTTATAAAGGTGGAGAATAAATTAGGAGTCTCTAGAGACAAGAAGGTGAGAGGAGGGAGTTGGCTATGGTTATAAAAGGGGAACATGAGGGATCCTTATAGTGATGAAATAATTCTGTATCTTAACTGTGGTGGTGGTAGTGCTTACAAAATTCACATGTGTGATAAAATTATATAGAACACAGACACACACGAGTACATGTAAAACCAATGAAATTTAAATAAGGCTTGTGAAACCTTGATTGTGACACTATACTACATTTATGCAAAATGTTATCATTGAGAAAAAGGTAAAAGGTACACAGGACCTCTCTATACTATTTTTGCAATTTATTATAAATCTATTATTTTAAACGTAAAAATTTCATAGAACGACATACCAAAATACTCAACTGTGATTCTCAATCAAAAAGATGTACATTAGCATCACTTGCAGAGCTTTATAAAAATAAATGTACCTGGGCCACACCCCACAATTCCAATTTGATAAGTCTAGGATAGGACCTGGGCATCTGTGATTCTGTGATCTGCACACTAAAGATCCATCCCTATGGATTACCACTACTTTAAAAGTGGAGGGTAAGAAATACACACATTAACAGTGGTTGTGGGATCATAGGTCATTGTAATTTCCTACCCTGCTATAATAAATGTGAAGTTTTGTACAATAAAAGTAACAAAAGCTGTTATAAAAAAAGATTCAGTTCATCATTCTAGCTGGTAGATATATTTTATTTCTGTTATCCATTTATTATTCCCTATCCCTACTCCCAATTTCAATTACCCATGAATTTGATGAGTAGATCTTCTTTGTTCTCTGTTCTCATTTTTATCACCAATAAAAAAAAGGTTGATCAAAGTCTTCTGGAAATCCACTAGAAATCTTGTTGTAGCTTGGTAATGATCAATAATCTTTGGGATTAACTTTATTTATTTAAGATCTCTCCAAATTTTACTTTTATCTAATTTATTACTCTCCATCATTTCCATAAGATAATAGATATTTTCATGCTTTGTTGATGTCCAATCTCCCACCTTTCCCCAGTCGGTCAATCCAAAGTGAACCTGAACCATTTCTCTGGCACTTTTCTCCCTAATTATACAGGAACACTCTGCTAGACATAGACTATGCCTTATATTTCTGTGCAAACTCCATAGCAATCCATTCGATTCCATTCATTCAACAAATATTTATTGACACCCTTCTATGTGTCAGGTATTATTCTAGACTACCTTTCCTTAGTGTAAAATGATAATTAAATATTCATTGTAGTATTCCCTTACCAACCAACTCTGGATAAACAGCTACCCTCCACGTTTGGTGCTACACTGTCCTTCCTATTATCCATCCTACCCAAACTTGAAGGACTTTTCCATTGACCCCTATCAAAATCACTAGATATACTTTTACAAGATTTTAAGAAGAATTAAACTACCGTATCATCAGTTTCTTTTTTTTATAAATAATCTCTTCTTCCATTTGTTTCTCCAGTATCTAATTTATAACGTTCTTATAGTATTTGGTATATTTTACTATGTATGTATTTATTTGTGTGCATGTCTTACCTTGACCAAGCTTATATAATAAAAGGCTAATATGCAAATTGACCAAATGACAGAACAACTGGTCGCTATAATGTGCACTGACCACCTGAGGGCAGACACTCAATGCAGGAACTGCCCCCTGGTGGTCAGTGCACTCCCACAGGGGAAGAGCTGCTCAGCCAGAAGCCAGGTTCACAGCTGAGGAGTGCAGCAGCGGTGGTGGGAGCCTCTCCCACCGCCATGGCAGCGCTAAGGATGTCCGACTGACAGCTTAGGCCTGCTCCCCTGAGGGCTCCTGGACTGCGAGAGGGCAAAGGCTGGGCTGAGGGAGCTCCCCCGCCCCCTGGCCCAAGTGCACAAATTTCATGCACTGGGCCTCTAGTATATCATAAGCTTTCCAAAGGCAGGAACCATGGCTTATTCAGCTCTGTAGGCCCAGTACATTTTTACCATGTCTGGAACCTGGCATTGCTAAATGAATAATTGATAAACAGAATAGCAGTTCCTTAAAGCAGGAGTTGCCAGGCTCACCTGTATTTTCACCAACCAGTTCACAAGAGAGGCCCTCATGTCACTGTTGATCTCAGTCTGACTTCTCATGTAATTTTTAAGTCTGAACTTTTCCTGGTGGCAATAAGAAAGAAATGTTAATAAACTATTCTTATAGTTCAAAAATTGTATCTGAGGAAAAAATATTTGCAACTAATATCTCAGAAAAAAAATATAACTTAACATAATTAACTTCTTCACTATTTAACTCATTTTCAGCTGGTATCTGATAAAGGCAGATCAAAGTATACTTTCCCAGTTCTTTGAAAAAGGGACACACATGATATTCAAGTGTCACAGTGGATACTGAGAAATTCAGGGGGAAGACAGGCAGAAACATATCTATGATTAGATTAATATCAAAAAGGTTCTGCCTCCTTTTTGAAATTCAACCTAAAAGCACAATACCATTCTATGTAGAGCAATGCTTCTCAAACTTTAACATGCATATATACCACTTGAGGATCTTTAAAATTCACATTCTATTTAGAAGGTCTGGGGTGGGTCTAGGTTTTTCCATTTCTAACAAAATCCCAAGTGAAACCTATAGTGCTAAGCTAAGGCCCACACTTTTGGCATAGCAAAGTTTTCTCTTACTTCCTCTAAGGTATACTAGAAAAAAATGTAGGCTCTAGAGTCAGTTAATCAAAAGCTATGTCTCTAGTGAAAATAAGAGTTACTCATCCTCCCTCTCATGCATGGCCTGTTAAAATTCTAGTTGGCACATAATCTTGGTCCCATCTGTTCTGTTGAAAGAGACAGGGAAAAAAACTTGAAATTAATGAATATTAGTAGTAAAAGAGACTGGCATATTTCAAAGGAGGAAGAAAATTTCACCAGGTTGGAGAGGTAAAACAAAGTGTGTGATTTTATATATGATGCCAGAAACTTGCATAGAGAAAGGAAAAGATCTCTAATAGCAGCTACTCAGAGGAGACTACTTGACCATTTTTGTGTCTGAGACTGTCTCCTCAGCAATTAGAGGTATAGGCTTATGTTCCTCTAGGTAATAATACTTCATTTCATATCCCAACTTTACCACATACTAGTTGTGTGACTATGGACAGTTTCCCCCATCTATAAAAAGGAGATAATAGTACCTACCATCATGAAATTAATGGGAGAATTAAACAAGATAATGTCTATAAATTCCTTAGCACAACGTATAACTCATAGTAAGCTACCAGTAGATGCCAGTTGTTGCCCCCCTTTCAACTCATATTTGAAGGATGAAGTGATGAGGAAATGAGAACTAAAAATCATTCCTACTCCCTACAAGTCATCTACATACCTCTCTCGCCTTCATGTAGTTGAAGATCTCCTTGGTGTATGCTAAGTTGAAATATGGATCATAATGGCTCCCATCAATAATCTCCAGTATTGTTATCTGATTGGAAATCACCAAAAAGTCATATTAGGAAAAAGATTCCAAGGAAGGCTTAGCATATGCACATAAACAATGACTTCTTTCTTTCCACTGTCATCTTCTACTGAGGTTCTTCAAGCTTCATACATCCTGGACCATAACAGAGCACCCTTGCACCCTGCAATCCTCATGCTGCTGAGTGACCAAGATATGCTTAGTCCTCCTTGTACATGTCTGCTCTACCCTAGGAATCTGACACATTTTTATAGGTAAGCTCAAGATTCTTCAACAACACTGTTATTTTACTATTTCGTCTTATGTCATCTGTCTTCTTAGGTTCCTTGTCCCAAAGCTTTAATCTGGCCCAAATCCTTTTCCACCATTCTACACCTTTATTCAGGTTGTTTTGCCTACAAGAGGGCTATTTCTCTTTCTATTTGCCAAATCTCATCCCTTTACCCTTTCAATTTACAACTTATAGAGCATCTTCCTTAGGAGATGCCTCCGTGAACTTTACCCATCTTTGACTGAAGTCCACTTGAATTCAGATTGCAATTACTAAGAAAGGCAATTTCTCAAGAAGTAAATACTACTGCAAAGCCTATATATATTTATATACAGTATTACAGGCTCTTGTGGGTATTCCTAGAATAAACACTCTCTAATTGCTTAGGTGAATCACTATGCCAATCAGAAAGTCAAGAGGTTCTACAAGGCCAACTTGATTTACTATAGCTTATAATATATAGCTCAGTTTCTGTTTAAGAAAAGAAAAATCTCTTTGCTAGCAGCTACCTCCAGGACAACAAAGAACATTTAATCTAATGTAAGAAGAGAGCAGAATACCTCCTTCTTTGATATATGGCGCCAATAGGAGAAACGTTTTTTGGAACTGGATTTACGAGCACTGTACTTCCTTTTGGTTTTATACTTGCTCAAACTAGTCATGTTGCCAAAGTTGGCCATGCCTGTTTGGGATTCAGGGGGAGAGTTGAACACATGTGAGCTGTTATTAACTTGGAGTGTTGATAAATCTTTAAGAAAAGTGTCTTCCTTTTGGGTGGGATTATCTTGCAAGGTCAACGGCTCCTCAAAGGACAACTTCTTCTGAGCGGTAGATTTCTTATTCAACATCTTTAAATTGAATGAATCATCGATGGTAGGCTTCCCCTGAAAAGTTAATTCTTCAATGATGAGGGGATCCTTCTCAATGCTGGGCTTCTGCTGCAAGGACAATTGCTTCTTCAAGAGGAACACCTCCCCTTGAGCAGTGGACTTCTCCTTTAAAGATAATTGACTCTCTGTGCTTATTATTGCTTCAGTGGAGAGTTTCTTCTTCTGAATCAATGGTTTCTTCAAAAGGAAATCCTCTTCAGTGGTGCTTTTATCCTGAAAAATCAACTGCTTCTTCAAGGAGTCCTCTTTGGTATCAGTGATATGCTTCTTCTTTAAAGATAACAGCGTCTTGTCAATTGCCTCCTCAGTTGAAGACTTCTTCCTAAATGACCCTGGCTTCATAACAAAGAAATCCGTACCTTTGCCAATTATATTCTGCAAGTCCAACACTTCTTGGCAGATGGACATCATTATTTGAGTGGTGTACTTTTTCTTATTTAAAGATAATGGCCCCTTGCTGGAGATTGCCTCATTTGTGGTATGTTTCTTCTTAAAGGAAACTGGCTCCATAAGAAATTCATCTTTGCTGTGAATATTCTCCTGCAATGCCCGAGGCTTCTTCAAGGGGGCTACCTCCCCCTGAGTGGTGTGCTTCTCTGGCAACACAGATGATTCCTTGAAGAGGAACTCCTCCTCAGTGGTAGGCTTCTTTTTAAAGGACAATGGCTCCTTAATGAGTGATTTCTCTTCAGAAATGGTCTGCAATACTAGTGGCTTCTTCAAGCAGGATAGCTTATCTTCAGTGGTACGTCTCTTTGCAAACACTAGCACCTCACTGGGGGTCGCCTTCTCAATGGTATGCTTCTTAAAAACCAAAGGCTCCTTTAAAAGTGACTCCTCCTCAGTTGGATTCTTTTGCAAGGCCAAGGGCTTCTTTAAGACAGACATGTCCCCCTCAGTGGTATGCTTCTCTTGCAACAGAAATGGCTCTTGGAAAAGGAACTCCTTAGTGGTAGACTTATTCTCAAAAGGAAATGGTTCCTCACTGAGCAACTTCTCTCTGGAGGTGGCCTTCTGCAATATTAGAGGCTTTCTCTTATAAGATACCTTCTCCTGAGTGGTATACTTATTTAAAGTTAATAGCTCCTTGGTGGTGGTAGACTCCTCAGTTTTAGGTTTCTTTCTAAAGTCCATTGGCTCCATAAAAGAATCCTCTTCAATGTTATTGTCCAGCGAGGTCATTTCCTTCACATAGCAGAACTGCTTAGTGGTAGACTTATTTTCAAAAGGAAATGGTTCCTCATTGAGCAACTTCTCTCTGGAGGTGGCCTTCTGCAATATTAGAGGCTTTCTCTTATAAGATACCTTCTCCTGAGTGGTACACTTATGTAAAGTTAATAGCCTCTCGGTGCTGGTAGACTCCTCAGTTTTAGGTTTCTTCCTAAAGTCCATTGGCTCCACAAAAGAATCCTCTTCAATGTTATTGTCCAGTGAGGTCATTTTCTGCCCACAGCCGAACTGCTTAGTGGTAGACTTATTCTCAAAAGGAAATGGTTCACACAGCTGAACTGCTTAGTGGTAAACTTACTCTCAAAAGAAAATGGTTCCTCATTGAGCAACTTCTCTCTGGAGTTCCTCACTGAGCAACTTCTCTCTGGAGGTGGCCTTCTGCAATATTAGAGGCTTTCTCTTATAAGACACCTTCTTCTGAGTGGTATACTTATTTAAAGTTAACAGTCTCTCAGTGGTGGTAGACTCCTCAGTTTTAGGTTTCTTCCTAAAGTCCAGTGGTTCCATAAAAGTATCCTTTGCAATGTCATTGTCCAGCGAGGTCATTTCCTTCACACAGCCGAACTGCTTAGTGGTAGACTTATTTTCAAAAGGAAATGGTTCCTCATTGAGCAACTTCTCTCTGGAGGTGGCTTTCTGCAATATTAATGGCTTCCTCTTATAAGACACCTTCTCTTCAGTGGTACACTTATTTAAAGTTAACAGCCTCTCAGTGGTGGTAGACTCCTCAGTTTTAGGTTTCTTCCTAAAGTTCATTGGCCCCACAAAAGAATCCTTTTCAATGTTATTGTTCAGCGAGGTCAATTCCTTCACACAGCAGAATTGCTTCTCTTGACTTATATACAATTTCGTGCAGGATAATGTCGTCTTAGTGAAAGTTGTCTCTCCAGTTTCATGCTTATTCCCAAAAGTCACTGGCTCTGAAACAAACTCCAAATCACTCTCAGTCTCCTCCAGCAAGGATAGTGGCTCCACAAATCCAGATGTCTTATTCCAATATATGTCCTTCTTTAAAGATAATGACCTCTTGATATGGGTTGTGTCCCTAGTAGTAGTTTTCTCTTTTAAAACTAATGGCTTTTTTAAAAGAGATGCCTCCTCAGTAGTGGGTGCTTTAGAGATGGTAGATATATTCACAGTGAGTGGTTTCTCCACAAAGTTTAGTATCGTGGTGGTAACTGCTGATGATGAGGGTTCCAATTCATATCTGTAAAGAAAACAATATCTGGGTAAGAAGAATGTAGTTCCTAGAATCTTCACCTACCATCTCATTTTGTTGCCAAATGTACTAAAGGTATGAAAGTGAAAAGGCCTACAACTCCAGGAGACAGATTAGAGTGTAAAAATCAATGCGTACCGTAGTGAATTAACTAAATAGCACAGTTTATAGTTTCTATGACCTACATCCCCTCACTTTTCTGAAAAATTTCTCCTGAAATCCATGATATACTTTTAGAATATATGATTTATTACCTTTATTTATATGTAAAGGCTTTCATTATAATACTTACCACATTGTATGAGTTATCTGCTTACATATCAGTCTCCCTCACTAGCTGCAATTATTTGTCTTTATATATCAGAACTAGGCATCTGGTAAAATTAAGGTTGAAATTAATATTTTTGAAAGCTTATGAGGGAGGATTTTAAGATAGAAGTGTATAAGAGCCTCAAGAAGGCTTATAAGTAAAAGCTGAGCACTTAACGTTGGTGGTATCTAACCATAGTCCCTTTACCCTAGACTATTCACAAGGTATTTTCTCAGTGGACATGAAAAGACCAAAATAAGCATTGTTCACATGTGTCAGATGCAAAGCTTTGTTTTGTATAGGATTTCATGTCCAATCAGAGTGAGTAACCTGGTGTAACTAAATAATTGGATGACTAGAAATCAGAATAAGAGAGAGGATTAAAAACAAATACAATCATCAGTCTGCACAAGAATAAGTACCTCCAAGAGACTATGTATCATATGATTCCATTTATCTGAAACACCAAGAATAGACATATCTATAGAGGATATTCATAACAGAAAGTAGATTGGTGGTTGACTGGGGCTGAAAAGGGGTGGGTCTGGGAAGGGAAGGGTAGAAAGGAAGACTGAAAAGGGAAGGGGCTGCTAATGGGTACGAGTTTCTTTTTTTTGGGGGGGGTACAGAATATTGGAAAAGTTCTAAAATTAGATAGTGGTGATGTGATGGCTATACAACTAACTCTATGAATATAATACCAAAAAACAATGAATTATTTTTAAAAAAGAAGTGCCAGCTGTATTAGTAGAAATTGACAAGCTGATTCTAAAATTTATATGGAATTTCAAGGAACCCAGAATAGCCAAAACAATCTTGAAAAAAAGGAACAAAGTTGGAGGCAATTTCAAAATGCCTTACAGAACAACAATAACCGAGATAGTTGTGGTACTGATATAACTACAAATATGTAGATCAATGGAATAAAATTAAGAGTTCAGAAATAAACACTTACCTTAACAATCAATTTTGACATGGTTGTCAAGACAATTAAGTGGAGAAAGATTAGTCTATTTAAGAAAAAGGTGCTAGAACTGGATATCTACATGCAAAACAATTTAGACCCCTAAAATACACCACCAACAAAAATTAACTAAAAAAAGCCTAAATTAAGAGCTAAAACTTTAAAACTCTTAAAAGAAAATCATAAAAATAAGCAAAGAAAAATAAAGGTCATGGACATAGTATGGTGATTACCAGAGGAAAAGGGGGGTGGGGGAGGTAGAAGAGGGTAAAGGGGGATAAATAGTGATGGAAGGAGAATTGACTTGGGGTGGTGAACATACAGTACAATATATAAATGATATATTATAGAACTGTACACATGAAACAAAAAAATTCAATAATATTTTTTAAAAATAAAAATTTAAAGAAGTAAATCTCTATAACCTTGGATTTGGCACTGGTTTCTTATTAAATATGACACCAAAAGCATAAGCAACAAAAGAAAAATATAAATTGAATTCCACAAAATTAAAAATGTTTGTGCATCAAAGGACACCAACAGGAAAGTGAAAATACAACCCACAGAATGGATAAAAATATTTCCAAATCATTTATCTGATCAGGGACTTATATCTAGAGTATGCAAAGAACTCTTACAAATTCAATAATGAAAAGCTCAATAACTAAATTATAAAAAGGGGACAAAGGATCTGACTAGATATTCTTCCAAAGAAGATATGCAAGTGACCACTAAGCATATGAAAGATGTTGAATGTCAGAGAAATGCAATCTAAAGAAGGAGATACTACTTCACACCCACTAGGATGGCCATAATTTTTTTTAAAGAAAGAAGATAACAAGGGTTGACAGGGATATGGAGAATTAGAAACCCTCATATATTGCTTGCAGGATTGTAAAATAGTGTAACCACTGTAGAATACAGTTTCACAGTTCCTCAAAGAGTCCAACATAGAATTGCCATTTGACCTAGCAATTATATTCCTAGGAATATACACAAAAGGATCCTATATAGTAAAAGCCTAATACACTAAGTGTCTGGTCATTCAGTCGTCTGTTCAATCAAAGCATAATATGCTAATGATATGCTAAGGCTGCTCAACCACTCGCTAGGACATGCACTGACAACCAGGGGACTGACACTCTGACCAATAGGTTAGCTTGCTGCTGGGGTCCAGCTGATCAAGACTGAGTGAGATGGGCCAGACACACCCTGGAGCCCTCCTGTGGTCCCTCCCCGACTGGCCAACCTCCTGTGTCCCATCCCTCCCCGGCCCCGATCATCCACCAGTGGGGTCCCTCAGCCTGGCCTGCACCCTCTTGCAATCATCAATCCCTTGGAGGATGTTGGAGATACAGTTTCAGCCTGATCCTGCAGGCCAGGCTGAGTTGAGGGGGGCACCAGACGCAGGGCTCATGGCTGGCAAGCGCTGCTGTGGCAAACTGAGCCTTTCCTGATCGGGACTGCTTGGGGGAAAGCCCGTGCCAGGCACAGCGGGACTGATTGGGTGAAAGCCCGTGCCAGGCACAGCGGGGCCGCGATGAGCGGGAGCTGCAGGCAGCGTTGGACTGCAGGTTTCAGCCCAATCCCTGCAGGCCACCCAGAGGGACCCCACCTGTGCACGAATTCCTGCACCCAGCCTCTAGTTCACATATAAACAAGAAGAACATCTATATTTATCTAAATCGTATCAAAGATCTTTATAGGAAAGAAAACACTTTAAAATGTATGAAGGAATGTGTTAATGATTAGAGAATCACTTAATTATTTTATTAGATAACTATTCATTGCAAATAACATGTAAAAGAGGACAATTATGAAGAATGTGTCATCTGCCTTCAAGATACTTGCAATTAACAAACAAGACAAAGAGTT